GCAGTTATGTACTCCATTATCCTCTATGGGCAAGCGTCCTCTCCATTGTTCCTTATGGGCAGGCATGAATTTTTTATTGGCATTATGGATTCTCTATTGGCAATTATGTACTCCATTATCCCCTATGGGCAAGCATCCTCTCCATTATTCCCTATGGGCAGTCATGGATTCTCTATTGGCAATTATGTACTGCACTATCCCCTCTGGGCAAGCCTACTCTTCATTATTCCCTTTGGGCAATCATGCATTCTCTATTGGCATTCATGTATTGCCTATGGGCAATTGCTGTCCACTCATGTATTCCCTATGGTCAATCGCTTGTCCTTAGTTTTAGTACGTCCCATTATTGCTATGTGCAAGTGTATGTGTATCTGCTTGGGGGAAAAAATTAATTTGGAAAATTTCTGTGCTATGTCTGCAAGGAGTGTGCTCAGATTTAGTGATATTCCCTTACCAATGCTTAGTGCAAACTGGTTCTAATGCATTAACTCAGTAACCTTTAATATAATCCTGTAAAGCAGGCCAGTATTATCATCCCCATATTTTAGACAAGGAATGTAAAACTCAGGATTCCAGGGGCATGTAGAATTTTTTCTTCTTCATCTCCTGACCCAGCCAACAACCCAAACTTATAAAAACCTCTGTAGTATTGCTGTTACCTCAGGTCACTAGTCTACTCAGGGTCTCTTATTTTTTAAAAAAAGAATTAAAAAACCGTACTGCTATCTAGGAAATAAAACCAACACATGGTGTGCACAGATGAAAAGCGACATTTCTCAAAAGCATAGAATAAAAAGGTTAAGAGTTATTTCTTATAAAGGTACATCAGAATTTACATGGCATTGGCAGGTAAAAATCAGAAAACAAGCACAGGAAAAATGAATTTAAAAGGTTAAAATACAAGTTCCCTATGCAGTGACTACTACTGCATCTTAAAGCCTGACAGGGAGCAAACCTTACGTTCATTATAAAAGTCCTTTTGTTCAAGCTGTTTGAAAGCTCTCTCAGAACAAAGAAGTCAGAATGAAGAAGCCAGCAAGAAACAGAAATTCATCCTATGCTCAGGTCTAAAAATATAGGATATGCCTGCCTTCCAACACCTGAAAGCTACTGAAATCTCCAACTGGTTCTCCAAGTTCTTCCCCCTGAGTGGGATACAAGGTTCTGTGAGAGAAAGAATGACAGCTAGTTAGATAAAGTATCCCACTAAGATGTTTCAATTGAGCAAACTTCAGAGGATGGCGGAAGACAGGAAGGCCTGGCGGGATCTGGTCCATGGGGTCGCGAAGAGTCGGACTCGACTATGCGACTGAACAACAACAAGATGTTTCAACCTGATGCAGATTAAAGCAGCTTTGAACACAGTCCCTTGTAAATGGTGTACTTTTATAAGCCACTTCACATTCCTTATGAAAGCATCTCAGCACACCCTGAGAAATTTTCTAACATACATCTTCTTAGCATACCATGGAGGAGGAAAGGAATTTGAAGCTTCTACTAGATGAGTGAATTCCAGATTTTCACATTAACAAACAGAGACCAGAAGGGGGAATATAGTACATAACAGATAGAGCTGGTCTGGTTAGCTGCTGTAACCTTAATCATTCAGCTAATAAAAGTCATGTCTCTTCACTGCTTCATTCCCCTGCAGGCTTCCTAAAGGCCATTTCATGGGTTTATGGCAGTGCTGAGGCCTTTATCCACTAGTGTAACCAGCTCTCTTAATCCACATTCCGTTCAATGGGACTCTCCTAGAACAAAGAGCTGGAGAATTGCCTCCAAATCTTTTGATGTTTCTAATTATTTTAACAGTGACATCTTTTCTTTTAGGCTGTGACTGAAGCATTTCTTCCATTCAAAGGAGACTGAGCAAGGCTTTACACTTTCTACCTGTGATGGAAACCTAGCTGACTTCTCTACTATGTCATCAGCGGGCATCGGAGTGAGCAGACATTCAGTACTGCCTCCTATCATCCCAGAGAGTGAGAAGGAGTTTCTGGAGAGCATCCAGAGATACATCATTTCAGAAATTGAGAAAGTAGGCTGTACCGAGGAAGGGCCAGCTGAGGAGTATTATGTCATATACAGAAATGTGTTTGAAATGGTAACTGACCATTGCCACATATATTACACTTTTCTGAATTAGTGGGTGTGATCTTTATGGACTTGGGATACTAGTCTTCTTCTTGCTGAAACTTAGGGTGAATGTAGCACTTACGTGCACAAAATCCTTTACATAATTAATCCTATCCCTGCAAAGTTGACCACTATTTTTATCCCCACATCTCAGGCAGAAGGCTAATAGCTTGATTAAGGCCACCTAGTGGGATCAGAACTGAGGCACAATTTGTGGAGGAGTGCAGCTCAGTGAGAAGAGCATCTGCTTGGCATGCAGAAGGCCCCAGGTTCAATCCCTGACATCTCCAGTAAGGAGCAGGCTGTAGGTGATGTGAAAGTTCTCAGCCTGAGACCCTGGAGAGCCACTGCCAGTCTGAGTAGACAGTACTGATTTTGGTGGACCCATGATCTAATTCAGTATACGGCATCTTCATGTATGTTCAGCTTCCTGACTAAATACTCACATGTTCAGGGCCTAAATTAGGGATGCCAGCCTCCAGGTGGAACCCGGGGATCCCCTGGAATTACAGCTCATCTCCAGACTAAAGAAATAGTTCCCCTGGAGAAAATGGATGCTTTGGAGAGTGGACTCTATGCCATTGTACCCCCACTGAGGTTCCTGTCCTCCATAGTCTCCATCCCCCAAATCTCCAGGAGTTTCCCAACCTGGATGTGGCAACCCTATGACCCCTGCCACGAGCCAGGGGGGACCTGGCCACTCTAGGCCAATATAGATGAGATGCTAATCCAGTTCATGATTGGACAGCTGAGGGGTGACATGATCGAGGTTTACAAGATTATGAATGGGATAGAGCAGGTAGAGAAAGAGGTACTTTTCTCCCTCTCTCACAATACAAGAGCTCGTGGGCACTCAATGAAACTGCTGAGCAGTCGGGTTAGAATGGATAAAAGGAAGTACTTTTTCCAGAAGGTGGCGGCGGCTAGAAGCATGGACAGCTTCAAGAGGGAATTAGATAAACATACAGAGCAGAGATCCATCAGTGGCTATTAGCCACAAGGTATAGACAGGAACTCTCAGTCTAGGGCAAGTGATGCCCTGTATTCTTGGTGCTTGGGGGGGCAACAGTGGGGGGGCTTCTAGTGTCCTGGCCTGAGTTTGCTCTGGCTTTTCTCAAATCTTTCCTAAATCTGCTTTGCTATGAAGTTTTGCTTTTTCAGCAGCTGCATCAGGGCAAAGCTTAGATCTGGCAGCCATATGGATGGGGAAATGTGGCTTTTCTCAGTCATGCCTCTAGGGCAGTCATTTCCCCCGCCCCTGTTTCCACAGCAGCCACTTCCTTGTCCCACCACCAAGCAGCCTTTTTTTTTAATGGCAATTAAATATTAGTATAAACATTAGAATAATTTGGTTCTCCAGTTCTCTGCATTCGCAGGCTTCATGTTTAAAAAGAGGCCATCTCTATCTCCTTTCATTGCAGAGATATACTTTCCCCATTATATCTCTTCAGTAAAAAGAGCTAGACTTACTTTTTTAAAATGAAAGTTTATAGAATCATAGAATCATAGAGTTTGAAGGGACCTCCAGGGTCATCTAGTCCAACCCCCTGCACAATGCAGGAAATGCACAAATGCCTCCCCACACACACAAACCCAGTGACCGCTGTTCCACACCCAGAAGATGACAAAAAAACCCTCCAGAATCTCCACCCAAACTGGCCTGTTAATTTAGTGAACATGATGCACAGATTGTAATAATGATATTCAGTTGCTGATTATTTTAAAGGAAAGAATGCTGATAAAGCCCTCTAGAGGTGGTGGCATCCACTGCCTGGTGCCTAGGTCAGGGAAGCTACAGAGAAACCTACTATTTGGAAGCCCTTGTTGCTTCTGTGCTGTATCAGCAGTTGCATCAGCAGTGGGTATACCACACAAGCTTGTCCCCATGTAGAAAACTCCAGTATGTAACCGGTAGGTAGTCACAGATCTTTTGGGTAGTACTAGCAACTGGGAACACCTATATAACGCTTGTGATTAGAACCATCTGTAGTAAAGTAACATACACATTCTGTTTGACTGAGTTCATTTTATTTGGGGTTGGATCCAGAGTAAATTGACAAATTTCACCTTCCTGCTTTAGACCACCCTCATGTCATTTCTCAGGAAGCAGCATTTCGTAGTGGTCAGTGGGCTACAGTGGGAGGGGGGAGGCAGGAAAGTTTCATTCTGCCATTGCAAAATTTAGTCTGGATCCAATCCTTTGTCCTTCATAAAGTTTAAAATAAGGATAGCAGTTGCTTAAAAAAGAAAACAAACGTGTAAACATGAATGAAGTCCCAGTGCAATCAGTGAACTAGTGGAAGGCAGCACTCTGGCATAATTACTTGAAAGTCAGTCCCATTGAATAACTAAGGTTTACGTCTGAGTAAACATACATAGGATTGGGCAGCATGCATTTAACACAATAGGATTTACTTCTGGGCAAATATGCAGGGGATTGTGCAGTTGGGTCCTTGGAGAGGTAAGTTTTTGGAATGGAATGTTTGCTTATTTTGTTTGTGATGTTATAAATCAGCAGTGGCAGATACCCAATCTTCTTGTTATTGACCCAGATAATTGAGCACGTCAAGGCATACAAGAACATCCTGACTACTATCAAGCAGGAATATGATGCCTTTATAGAAACAATAAAGAAAGGCCAGAGAACTGCATTCTACCTTCATGGAAAATTAAAAGTGTTAGCATGTGAACCTACAACTCTCATGTATTATAAGAAGAGAATTACTCAACTGGAAGAGAAGTAAGGGACCCCTTCTCTTACTTTAACTATAGACTTGCATCATATTTTATATGCAATATTGTGATTACAATCAACTGGTGCAGTTGGCCCATTAATATGGGAACAAAGGGGTCTTTTTATAAGGACTGTATTCTGCTGAAAACCATCCATGTTTTATAAAGAAGGGCAGAATGGAAATATTTTAAATGAATCACAAAACATTTAAGTTCAGTAGGGGAGTGACTTCTGTGCATATACAAGTCCCCAGATCCCCCCCCCTCCCGTTTCCCATGAACAAGTTTTTGAGGTGCAGAGCTGGAAAAGATCCTCTTGTTTGGAGAACCACTGCCAGTCAGAGCAGACAGAACTACACTAGACGGACCCATGGATTAACTAGCAGTGCAATCCTAAGGACATTGAATGGACCTGAACGGGATTCTGACTATTCCTGTCTAAGGCAGCTTCATGTGTTCAAAGTGAAATGCAAATGGGTTTCTATAAATGGCTTCGTATGCTTATGACCAGCATGAAAAAGATTAGGAAAAGAACTTCTCTTCCCCCTAAGATTGTTTTGGGCATTGCTTATTTTTTTAAATTTCATTTTGGCTTTATTTCTTTTGCTTGCTTGGCTTTTGTTAGCAGCCTTGAGCCAGACTAGTTGATAGGAAAGGGGGGATATTAATGATTGAAGAGATAATTTCTTTAAACAACTGAATGTGACTTTTCTGCCCCAAGGAAGGTTTGTAGCAGCTTACAAAATATGAAAGGAAACTATTTATTTATGTAATTCATTCATTTGTACTCCACCTTTCTCCCCAGTGGGGAGGACCTGAAGTTTCCTCCATTTCATCCTCACAACAACTGTGAGGTAGGTCAGTTGTGAGAATGACTGTCCCAAGGTCACCCAGTGAGCTTCGATAACACAAGTGGGGATTCGAACCTGGGTCCCCCAAATACTGGCCTAACACTCTTAACCACTACACCGCACTGGCTCTCCAATTTCTTTCTAAAATTTCAGAAATTGCGTTAATGCTAAAAACAGCAGCAACAAAAACAGCAGCTCATAAAAGCTACGGTGCCAGGAGCATACAACAACACAATACGGATGCAAACACAGGCTTCTTCGTTTCAGGGGAGCATTAGTGTTTTAAAGTATATGACTTCCTGTGGAAGGATGCATGCAGTTATGTTATAGTATCTGCCTGGCTGTTCAAGAGAACTGTGACGTGCAGCTTTCCCAAATGGGTTGACTGAGAATGAAAAACAGACAGGCATAGGATGTTTTGTTGTTGAGAGTTTTCTTTTTCCCCATTGAAACACTAAGGTTTTATTATACCAAGCCTCCGATACATAGAGGTAACAACTTTTAACATCGTTGTGCTCAGAGTTTAAAACCACATTCCCTTTCTTCTGAACCTTAACTGCATTGAAACAAGTAAGTAAGAAACAGCCCTTCCACTTCTATCCCCTTGAATGGATGCATTCATTAAAACTTTCCTTCTGACCCAGCATTTTAATTCCAAATTCCAACTCCCCAGTGCAAGGGACCAAAAGCTAAATAATCCTCATGAGAAGCACAAGGTTAAAATAAGAACAGCTGCAAGAATCAAAGAGTTTAAAGCCCCTCACAGACCCCCTACTTCAAAAGCCAGTCTCCTGAGGCACCTGCCTGGATGAGTGAGGCAGGATTATACTGACGCAATTCTAACTTTAAATAGCTGTTCTTTTTTTTTAGGATAAAGAAAATTGAGAGCAATTCTGTAAGAACTGAGAACTTGATACAGAAAATAAGAAATTTTAGGACAGCATCTGCAGCTGAAACTCCACCCCAAGGCAAAAAGTTGAATCCTTCTAAGGCCATACCGGGTAGGACATCTATACTGGAGAAATCAATTTTGTCTGAGATTAAATAAGAGCCATCCAGTCCATCCTCCTGTTTCTTACAGTGCCCAACTAGAAGCCTTCAGGGAAGCTGACAAGCAAGCAGAAGACAACAGCCATCTCCTGCTTTTATTCCACAGCAATTTGTGTTCTGCAGCATACTGTCTCTGAACATCAAGGATTCATTTAGGATGATCCTCATATGGCTAGCCTGTACCTTGGAGACAGCTCCTCATTGGTTGCGGTGTGGTAGGAGAAGAAGAGTTGGTTTTTATACCCTGCTTTTCCTTTTCTCTACCTTGTTTTAAAGCAGGTTATAATCACATCCCTTCCTCTCCCCACAACAGGCGCCTTGTGAGGTAGGTGGGGCTGAGAGAGTCCTGAGAGAACTTTGACTGGCCCAGGGTCACCCAGCAGGTTTCATGCGAAGGAGGAGTGGGGAATCAGATCCAGTTCTTCAAATTAGAGTCCACCACTCTTAACCTCTACACCACATTGGCTCTCATTGGTGCAGTGCTGACCCAAGTAAAACTGTGGCATTCAACTACAATCTCTTCAGCAAGCCATTTTGAGGAAGCACTGGGGGCGGGGAGTGGCCAGTCATACCTTGCCTATTCTCAAGATAGCCTGCTGATGTCACCTCTCAGCTCTTCTTCCCTACTTCCTTGTTTCTACATTCTCACCATGGGTGATTTCCCACAAGCGCTGCTCCGCGCTCACTCTTCTCTTTGGCTGGATGGTACCTGTCAATTTCACACAAGCTGCTGTGCAGCTGCATTTTGCCTCGCAGCTTCGTGCGATTTTCCCCGCGTCTACTCAATCCTGTGTTTTGAGGACTGAGTAGACGTGGGGAAAATCACACGAAGCTGCGCAGCTTGTGTAAAATTGACACGTACCATCGGGGCAAAAGGGAGGAGTGAGCGTGGAGCAGCACTTGTGGGAAATCACCCCATCTGTCTGCAGTGCCTTTCTTTTTACCCCTGCCTTTCTCCCTAAGGGGGAACCAAAGGGGCTTGCAACATTCTCTCCTTTTCCGTTTTATCCTCACAAAAACCTTGTGAGCAGAAGGTTAGACTGTGAGCGTGTTACTGGCTCAAGGTCACCCAGCAAGCTTCCATGGCAGAGTGGGGATTCAAACCTTTATCTCCCAGGTTCTAGTCCAACACTTACAATGACATCACGCTGGTTTTGAAAGGCTTGTTAGATGTCCTTGGGTAACCCTCTGGTAAGAGTTTGTTGGATGTCCTTGGACACGTTATCCTCTCTCTGCCAAACCTGCCTCACAGGAGGAGAGAACAAATTTATTGCCCTAAACTCCTGCAGAGGAGGACAGGATAAAAACCCCTGGTTGTCTGTCTGACAGGATGGGGGAGGGAGATCAGGCTTGAAACCACGTGGCAAAGTTCATGTGCCGGCAATGGTAAACAAAGCCAGCAAAAGTCGCTGGCTGCGTATAGCCACTTCCCTTAAAGAATTTTGGGTTGGTCATCACTCAGAGCCATAATTTTGGATTGGTCATCACTCAGAGTGAAAAGTATGCAGGCAGAGAGTGATTCAGCTAAGCATACCTTTATTTAGTCAGGAACAAAGACAACTGACCAGCTCGCAGGCCGGTTTATATTCATTCAGAAAACCCGCCACCAAACTCACCTAAACACACCCCCTACTCCCGATAGGCTATTTACAGTAACCGAGAGACCCATTGGCCTCCCGGCTTGGGACCTAGCCCTTTCATTGGGCCGGCTAGGATCCTACGGACCCATTGTCTTTAAACTTGAAGCTATTGAGGGATTGTGCCTGGCCAGCCCGGGCAAGTCCGGGCATGTCAGGCTGAATACATTACACAGAGCCATGAGTATTCAGGGACAGAGCGATTCACAAATCAGAATTATAAAGAAATATAAATAAATAAACTGCCCTGGAAAGAAGAACAGGATAAAAACCCCTTGCTGTCTGTCTGGCACATTATGAAAGGAGGAATCAGGATTGACATCTCTCAGGTCTCTTGGTGTGGGAGCTGGTAATTCCCACCCCAGTGGCACTATAGTTATTTGTGTTCTTTGAAGATGTTTTCTTTAAAAACAACAACAATGGGGCATGATCCAAGCATAATCAATTTTTATTGATTTATATATTTATTTTTAACAAATTCTGTCTTGCCTATCTCTTAATAAAACAGGGTCACTTACAGCAGAATTAAAACCACACAATATCATACTAAAACCAGATAAGAATCAATTTTAAAAAATCAACAATAACTCCTTAACCTTAAAACAGTAAAATCAAGACATCAGAAGCCCAAGGGACAGCAGAAGCCAAAATTGTTTTTAAGTCCATCCTTTAAAATAGAACAGAGTTAAGCATACAAGGATTATAGACCAGTTGCACTCACTCCGGTTGTGATGAAGTGTTTTGAGAAATTGGTACGTAGTCACACCGTCTCATGTCTTCCATCTACACTGGATAGTCACCAGTTTGCATATAAGGCAAACAGATCCACAGAGGATGCCATCACCACTACTCTGCATACTGCTCTGTCACATCTGGAGCAGCCGGGGAGTTATGTGAGGCTGTTGTTTGTGGATTTTAGTTCTGCCTTTAATACCATCCTCCCAGATAGATTAGTGTCCAAATTGGAGGGCCTTGGACTCTCCAGCTCCATATGTTTCTGGATTTTGAACAATTTTATCTTATTACCTTAACAATGTTTATATATTTGTTCTGTTTTACAGATGAACACACACGAAGCTGCCTTATACTGAATAAGACGATCAGTCCATCAAGGTCAGTATTGTCTACTCAGAATGGCAGCAGCTCTCTAAGGTCTCAAGTGGGGGTTTTTCACATCACCTTCTGCCTGGTCCAGCCACTGTTTGTTGGTGGAGAACGTGTGGAGAGGGTGGCTCCTTTTAAGTTTTTGGGAGTGATTATTGAGCAAAACTTGACCTGGAGCGCTAGCACCACTGCTCTGGTGAAGAAGGCCCAGCAGAGGCTCTTTTTTCTCAGACTTTTAAAGAAAAATAACTTGAGTGAGAAAATACTGATGTCCTTCTATCGTTGCTCAATAGAGAGCATTTTAACATACTGCGTCTGTGTCTGGTTTGCCAGTTGTACGGCTGTGGATAGGAAAGCACTCCAGAGAGTTATCACCACAGCCCAGAAGATTATTGGCTGCCTTCTCCCATTCCTGGAGGAATTGTATAGTTCTCGATGCTTGAAAAAAGCAAAGAACATTCTGCAGGATTTGTCACACCCTGAACACTCCCTGTTTGAACTGCTGCCTTCGGGTAGAAGATATAGGACAATTAAAACAAGGACAAACAGATTAAAAAATAGTTTTTATTCGAGAGCTATTATTGCTTTAAATGTTGCATGAAATTGGAATTTGGGTGACATTGGTGGTTTAAGTTGCAATGTGAACCTTAAGGGAGTTATGGGATGGTTGTGAATGGTTGTGTGGGTGTATGAGTATGGTTGTAGATCACCGAATGATTGCACCTTTAATTTCGTTGTACTATGTGCAATGACAATAAAGTATATTATTATTACAAGTAGCTCTCCTGCTTAATTTCAGTTGAACAGGACCACTATTTTTTGTTGACTTTGTTTTTCACACGTGTGGATGCTGTGCCGTTAGATAGCATGTGCAGTATGCCAGAACACAGAGTATGTGACCGTGCCTTTCAGCATTGTGATATACTTGGGCTTTTTCCTTTAAGAAGTGGGAGGACCCCTTAAATTTTGTTAATGAAAGCTATCACTCATTTTATTTTAATTCCAGTTTGTTCTCCACTTGAATTCTGTAAAAGAGCTGGTGTGCTCATTGCAGTCACAAATTCATGGAAAGTTTTGTTCTTCCTTCCTCAACAGGTCTCAGCCATAAAGATTCCTTCAACATGAATGCTCTCACTAAGCACCTTGCTCATCTGCAAAAGCGGATCCAGGAGCTGAAAGAAGCCGTGTTTACAAAATATGTCCCTGTGGAGAACATGGCCATTATTGAAGAGAAGCTGCATCATGCCCTGAGCCAGCGAGATAAGTCCGAGGAAGAGAATGAGAAGCTGAAGTTTTGGTATAATTTTTCTATTTACAACATACATTTGCCTTTTCTTAAGATGAGCTTGGGGGGGGGATTCTCCCCTCCTCCCATGCCACTGAATTACCGTACTGATACAGTGCTCTCTGCTTACATGAGAAGAAGCCAGGGCTTAGTGGTGCCTGATGTTCTGTGTTCAATCCATGGTACCTCAAATCAGAGAATCCCATATAGCACAACTAGGGAGAGATCCTTGGCCAAGGCACTAGACAGATGGAACCCCCTGCAAACAGTTATCTCACCCAGAACATGATCACTTTTATTTAATGGGAAGGGCCTGAAGCTTAAGTAGCAGAGCATATGCCTTGCATGTATAAGGACTCTGTCCCCAGTCTGTCCTGTGCAGGGTGTTATTGTTAATGACAGACTGTTAATGAAATTGGTTTTTAGGTAGCCGTAGTAGAAACCCCAAAATGTAGGGGATGTTTTAAAAGTCAATTCAGACAGTATAGTCTTACAGAGATGGTAGCCGTTCCCACACAACTGAATGTTACTATATGCTTGTTTGATTAATCACCAGCTGTCTTGTGGAATCTAGAATTCATGGTCTGGTCTTGAACAATATTCTCCTTTTGTGGAGCCATAGATTCGGACAATGAGCATATCTCTGTATGGAAAAGACTTTCATATCTACCAGAACATAGAATTTAATTTGATCCTAAGGCAATGAATTATGAGTCTTTTGAAGAATCAGGGCAGAGAAGTTCTGTGGGAAAATTTGTGGCACTGAAGATAACCTTAAGGTTTGATGACTGAAGCTTGAAGGGGGGAAAAAATGGAACAAAATGCTAAGGATGAAGGACGTTAGGGAGACCAATGGCACAATCCTAAACAGAGATACACCCTTCTAAGACCATTGACACCAATGGGCTTAGAAGGGTATAACTCTGCTTAGGATTTCACAAGTCTTGTGAACAGTCTGATGAGCCAGCCTCATTCACCCAGTGTTGTTGTTCTTTGTAGCTATTATCGAATAACACAGTTTGCGAATGCAGTGAATTTCTGGGAGAATACAGACAAGAGTGTTGAAACCTTGAAGCAAATAATCGATCAGATAAAAGAACATGAAGAAAAAATTGGAAAAGGTAAACGTTTGTTTAGATTGTCACCATTTCACAGCAGCCGTTTTCCCCTCCATAACAGGCAAGCAGCCACTCAGAATGTGCATTTGATCAGGATTAATTCATATCAATATATCTCATCCCTTTCCTTTACAATACCTCTGTTCCACACCACCTCATTAATTGTCATTAATCTGATTTTTAAAATTGACATCTCAGTGAATTCTGCTTGGGGCGTTTTCCCCTTCCTATTCCTGAACTGGTCCCTCTCCTTTAGATTTCTTCCTCAACTCTTATTTTTAAAACAACCCCTAGCCTAAGCCAACCCATTTTCACATTTCCTGTTTCTCTGTTGCCAACTGACTCCACAATCCATCTTCCATTACTTCTTTGCAAGTCCCTCAGTTCCTGTGTGTTTGTAGAGACTGTAAACCCTCTGGGCAGGTGCTCTGTCGCTTGGTACACAGTAAGTTATATTTTGAAATATTTATTTATTTAACACATTTATCCCCAGCCTCTGCCTATAAATATCTGAAGCATGACTTATTGCAATAAGAATCCTAAAAAACAGAAAAACAATAAAATAGTGAGATAAAAAGATGCAGCAAAATCTGAGGAAAAAATGCAGCAAACAATTTAAGATTGCATCCAATGAAACCATTAAAACCCTACTAAAAGAACAAAGGGATAAAACCCAGATGGTCTAAAAGAGGAATCAAAGTGTAAGCCTATGCCACCTCTCCATATGGATTTCTGCAAAGTGGCTTATCTTGATAATTCTGTATAGGATTACACAGTAATAACAATCCACAGTGGAAGGAGGCCTGAAAGAATAAAAGAGAGGAGGAGGAGGAGATTGGATTTGTACCTTACCCTTCACTCGGAGCCTCAGTGTGGCTTACAATCATGGCCGGCTCGCCCGCTAGGCGAGCTAGGGGCTCGCCTAGGGCGCGCCGGCCCTCAGGGGCGCCAAACTGCACCCCGCTCCCCCAAGCCCCGCCGCCGCCGCCGCCCTAACCGGGCGATCACCGCCTCCCTCCTTCTCCTGCAGGCTCTCTTTTTACCTCCGCTGCAGCGCCTGCCAGCCAGCCGGGCGCTTCTCCGCCTCTTCAGGCTGCTGGGCGCCTGGCGGGGAGTGGGGAGTGGGAGCATGCTCGGAGGCAGACGACCGGGCGGCGGCGGCGCTCTCCTGCCTGCCTGCCTGCCTGCCACTCCTCCCTGCTCCCGCCTCCTCCTCCGACTTTTCAGGCTGCCAGGCGGGGATGGGGGGGGAGTAGAAAGCGCGCTCGGAGGCA